GTTTCTGTTAAATTATTATTTTATAGATGAATGTTTCTGTTCAATTATTATTTTATACATGAATGTTTCTGTTCAATTATTATTTTATACATGAATGTTTCTGTTCAGTTATTATTTTATACATTAATGTTTCTGATAAATTATTATTTTATATATGAATGTTTCTGTTCAGCCCTGAGACGACTTCTGTTGTGACTTGGAGTTTAGAAATAAACTGAATTGAATTGTATTTTAAAAATTGTATTTCTTTAATTCACTTTTAATTTTTAAAGTTAAGGCAAAAGAAAAGTTATAAGTTATCCGGCTCCTTTGGTTCCTCCTCTTTCTCATTGTGTTTTTGCTGTGGAGGCTTTTTTCCTGATGTTGTTCAGGATTTTAGTTGCTTTGTCATAGTGGCTTTATAAAGTATATGGCTAAAATAGTTTTGGCCTTTGGTAATTTAAACTTTTTTATATAAATTTGTTTTTATTACCTGTTAATACTGTACTGTAAATAGTCTGCCATTCTCAATGTTCCAATACATATTGAACATTATTATTGATATTGTTTATTTTATTTCTTATATATTGTATTGTTTATTAACATTTATGAACTTTTGTGTGAAATCTTTTTATCTGTTGCTGCTGCTACACTTGAGTTTCCCATCCGTGGGACAATAAAGCTGTTTCTATTCTTCTAATTACCGTTTTGTTCATTTTTCCTTTGACCTCCCAGTTTAGCTAAAACACATTTCAGCAGTCACTCAGCTCTCAGCATTTTGCAGGAACTGCAGATTTTTCCCACTCTTCACTGTAGGTTATTTATTTATATCTTCATGGTTATAATTAATAACATTAACTTAATAACTTCAGTTGGTGCTGCTGTTCGGCATATTGTTTTTATACTATTAGTGCTTAGTGTATTTTTAGTTAATCTTTTTCTTAGTTCATATCTTAGATCTCATTACTGTTTTTTATTTTTGGATGTAACTGGGACCCTGTGTACATAATGTCGTTCCACCTCATGTACCACATGTGGTGGAATGACAATAAAGAATCTCTGAATCTGAATCGAGTCCACTGATCGTTGGCACCCCCAGTCAAATCAAGACTGCTCTGAAATATAACGTTCTGCTTTCTCTGACCAGTCAGCGCAGAGTGAAGCTTTCAAAGTATATTCCTCAGAAAATGAACTTTGCTTTGTCTCGCCAGAACAAAAAGATTCAGAACCAATAAACCTGATTATCCAGAAGCTTTATTGTCTTCAACAGAGTAAGTATATGCAACATCATCATCGTCATCAGTCCTGTTGCTATGGACCTGTGCTGGACTGCAGAGGGCTGTTGACATGCAGCAGAGCCAAGCAGACAGACAGGAGGACAGGAAGTGAGGTAGGAGGGTGGTCAGGTGGACAGGAAGTGGGGTAGGAGGGTGGTCAGGTGGACAGGAAGTGAGGTAGGAGGGTGATAAGATTCACAGGAAGTGAGGTAAAAGGGTGATCAGGTAAACAGGAAGTGAGGTAGGAAGGCAGACAGAGGGACACAGATTGAGGTAGGAGGGTGTCAGCAATACAGGAAGTGTGCAGGACAGACAGATGGACAGGAAGTGAGGTAGGACGGTCAACAGGAAGTGAAGCAGGAAGGCGGATAGGTGGACAGACGGGGACAGGTAGCTTTAGTGTTATTTACATACAGGTAGACAATTGCATTTGTAAGCTCATTGGCTGTCTTCCAGAGGCTCCTCCCCCCTCATGTCTGTTTCAGCCAATCCCCTGTGAGTGGGGGCGGTCTCTGCAGGCTGAGGGGAGGGGTGTGAGGAGGAGGCAGAGGAGGATGAGGAGGAGGACAGGGAGAGGGGGATGTCTGGGGGTTGATCAGTCTGTAGTCTCCCCTCCCCATCTGCCTCACCTCCTAACAGTGCCTCCCCTGCCTGCCCTCCACCTCCTCCTCCACCGGACCCAGCAAACTGCAAGTGAGGCAGGATGGTGGCAGGAGCCTCCTTTTCCTGCTCCCGTCCCCTCGTTGCCTCCCTGTCGCGTCGCTCGGCGTACAACTGGGACTCCAGGCCGAGGTAGGAGGCACTGAGCTGCCGCAGGTCCAACTCGAAGGGGCTGCCGCTGGGCCGCTCGCCTGCAGCACCTCCTACTCCTCCAAACCCCCTTTTACCTTTGCGTGGGTGGGAAGACTGTGAGGAGGGAAGGCCGTCAGGGAGGAGCGACTGAATCTTTGGGAGCCAACGTTTACGAACTCTGCGGGCGTTGGTGCACATGTCAGCTGCAATCACGTTCATCTCACTCTCCTTAAAGTTGGGAGCAAAGTTCTGACAGTACACTGAGGAGGAGGAGGAGGAAGAGGAGGAGGAGGAGAATCAAACACCTCTGACTGTGTGAAGCATGCAGTGAAAACAGAACTGGTGTGAATGATAGTCTTACATTTGACGGTGTTTAACACTCGGTTGTCCAGAGGTTTTCGGCTCGGATCGTTGGTGGAAGAGCGGATTCCCGTTCCGCAGCTATTGGCCAGAGTGTTTCTATGGAAACCAAAACAACCCAATCAGCATGTGCAGGTGTCTGAGCTGTTATGTAAAGAATCTGTGGGAACATCTGGAACAAAGCATCGCCAAAGTTCGGACGATGGACCGACTCAAGCGTGACATTGTGGAAGGTCATTCAGTGTTTTAAGGTTTGCACATTTTGTTCATTGCATCGATCTGAACAGGAAGCATGGAGCAGCAGACTGGAAACAGCTGTTCCAGAGGTTTCCTGACAGCTCCACTGGGCGTGTCAACCCTCAGGTAAGAGCTCACCTGTCGAAGAACGTGGCCAGAAGCCTTCTGAGCAGCACCTTGTGTTTGACTCCGGCACACAGGTGACAGTTCATCAGCTGACCTCTGGTCATAAACACACCCGAACCTGAACGCAAACCAACATCAGGGTCATTGTGCAGCAAGTCTGTTACCATGACAACATCCCAACAGGTGTTCTGCTGTCCTACCTGCCACCAGCTCCACTTTCTCTCCGGGGTCCCCCTCCGTATAGAGCGATGGGTGGCAGCGGTACCCGATCTGACTGATCAGACTGGCGGGCAGGGCCATGTTGTCCCGACCAACCAGCACGCATGGACGCCGCTCGTTAGCCAATGGGAGGGGCAGCAGCTCCAGCTTCTCTTGAACTGAACCAATGAAGAGCCAGGAGGATGGGGGGTGGGGGGGGGGTTAGAATAACAAACAAACAAATTTCTGAAAATAGTCACTACAATGAAATCACATCATGACCAAATAACTTCAAACATTGGGGGCTCCTGAATCTAAATCTCTGAAGCTTTGGGCCCTTGAAACAACAACTTTAAAGCTCTGAGGCCCCTGAATCAAGAGTCATAAAAGACAGGGGCCCCTAACTTAAGTTGCACAGGTTGGGGAGGCCCCTGAAACAAAACTCTTAAACGTTGAGGGGCTTTGACTCTGGAGTCCTAAAGCTCTGAGGTCTCTGAATACTTAAGGTTTCTGGCCCCTAATTCAAAAGACTTAAAGGTTTACTAAATTAAAAGCATTAAAAGTTTGGGGCTCCAAATTAAAAGCGCTGCAGGCTGGGGAGACTCCTGACTCAAAAGTCCCAAGAGTTCATAACCAGCGATTAAAATGTTTGGGGGCCCTGAATGAAGCACAAAGAGGACTTCAAGAAGAATCATTCAAACTGACGGTAGGGGTTTCCAGGGTGACCGTAGATCTGCTGGAGGAGTCCCGGGTGGACACCGTTACTGTAGTAGTCCTCCTCCAGCTCCTCCTCAGTGGGGGGATGAGACGGAGGAGAGTCTGTGGGGAGGCTGGATCCTCCCGGACTAGAGCGCCCCCCTCCTGCCAGCAGGTAGGACTGCAGCCCATGAACCAAACCTCCTCCTGTGGTCAGGTAACACAGGGTGCTGCTCCTGGAGGACTGCAAGTCCCTGACCGTGTCCACCCTGAGGACAGAGACAGAAACAAACACGAGAAGGACATTATATCTTTAAAACAGAGACAAAAACCAAGGAAGTCTCTTCTGTTCCATGCCTGGCTCACCTGGCCTCCTCTCCCCCACCTCCTCCTCCATTCTCCTCAGCCGGAGGAGTGTCGGCTCTTTCTTGCTTGATCCTGCTGACGGCCAGCAGCAGCTCCTCCGGGCTCAGGGATGGCTGGTTCGGACTGACTTCCTGCATCTGGGGGGTGCCGTTCTGCTGCGGAAGCTGGGCCATCGGGGCGTCGAACCCCCCCAGCTCGTCCGCCGAGTTTGTCTGTGGAGCAGCGATGTTAGTTAGAAGGTAAAACATAATGTCACAGTTGTGTTGACGTCAACCCTCAGCATGAACAGGTTCTGATCCACGGTGAACGGGCCTTCAGTTCCACTAACATCCACCAGATCCTGCTGCCTCCCTCAAACACCGGGAGCCCTACAGAATCGCCGGCTCCTCATCAGGACAGGAGGTCCAGCCTCAGATGGACAAAATACAATTTCTAAGAAAAACTGGACAAATGGAAAATCTGCTGACTGATCCAGCCTCGCTGTCTCCGCTGGATCAGTCAGGAGCTCCTGATCCAAAAACTGATTGTCAGTGTGACCACCTCTAGAAAGACAGCAGTTTTGTCAGTTCACTGCTTTTAACACAATGTCAAGATGGAACATCATCAGCAATGACCTCAGAGAAGCACCTGGTGCTGCCCTTCAGTCTGGAAAGGGTCAAAGGTCATATCAAACTATCAGGAGTTCATTGTTCTGCAGAGAGAACGGCTATCCACATGTGGGAAACAGAAGCTCTGGATTTTCCAGGAGTGGATGTCCCAGCAAATTCACCCTGAAGGTCAGACCATGATCCCAAACTCAGCAGCTGATCTACAATAAACAAGAGTGGGCTAAAATTCCTCCACAACCACGTGCAAGACTGAAAGTCCTCCAGAAAACCACAGCTGGGGGGTTATTTTGGTAGTTTTCATCTAATAAGCGTTGAAGTGATGTCACGTGTTGTTTATCTGACGTCGGACTGACTTCATGTCCAACGAGGAGCTTTTCAACGCCTGGACTCAGAAAGAGGGTGCAGGTACTTTTATCAGCCCATCTGTTGGATAAATAAATATCCTTTCATCATCTATTTACTCAAATTAGCCACTCTGAGGAGACAAGAAGATTTTTAACCAGTATTTACTTGTAAGGGCAGATGGTCACCATAAGGCTCTCACCCATGTAGTTACATGTTAGAGCCTCGTCAGTGAGAATCAGCCCCAGACAGAGAGGCAGGAAGGGTTTTATAATACACGCTTATCAGACAGAGGCGAGGTCAAGACAACCTTGACTTTCCAGCTTACAGATGAGGAGACCTTAGAGTTATCATTGCTCCTCTTTGAGCAGTCAAAAGGCTCTGTGACCTCATACACACCGTTCAACATTAATTTAACATTAGTTAGTGATAAACATCCATGACCTTTACCTAAATCTCCCTGACACCGTCAGACCCACCTGAGAGTCACAGCAGAGTGGTGAGGAGGAGGAGGAAGAGGCCTTCATCAACATCAACTCCATGCCTCGTTCCACGATGTTCTGGATCTGGAGGTAGCCAGCAGTGTACATGAGCACCAACTGCTCGCTGGCTGCCATGCTGAGGCGTCCGGTGTAGCAGAAGGAGAGAATCTGCTGGAAACATGCAGGAGTGACGGAGGATGGCAGCTCAAATGCTGCCTGGGAGGAGGAAGACGAGGGGTCGGCTGCGGAGCTGAACAGATCTCTGAAGTACAGTGAAGAGGCCGCCAGGACAGCTCGGTGCGCCTTGAAGGCCTGACCCTGAACCAGGATGGAGACGTCGCAGTAGTGACCCAGCAGGCGCTGCTCGTTCAGGCTCCCCAGCACGCTGCTGCCAAAGTCCGGGATCTCTACCTGCAGCAGCCCCTCCGACATGGCGTCAGTCTGGGGGGCAAGGGGTGGGGGACAGGAGGGGACTAGAGGTTTGTGACAACAAGATGTTTAGGTGTCAGGGATGCTGCAGAAGACTCCTCCAAAAGGTTTCAGATCCATGAGGTCAGAGGGGTTCAGATCTGAGGTTTAGGTCTGAGGTTCAGGGCTAACGTTCAGGTCTGAGGTTCAGATCAGAGGGGTTCAGATCCAAGGTTCAGGTGTAAGGGTCATGTCTGAGGTTCAGGTCTGAGGGGTTCAGATCTGAGGTTTAGGTCTGAGGTTCAGGTCTGAGGTTCAGGTCTGAGGTTCAGATCTGAGGTTCTGATCTGAGGTTCATGTCTGAGGTTCAGATCCTAGAGGTTCAGATCTGAGGGTCAGATCTGAGGTTCAGGTCTGAGGTTCAGGTCAGAGGGGTTCAGATCTGACAGTCAGGTCTGAGGTTCAGATCTAAGGTTCAAGTCTGAGGTTCAGGTCTGAGGTTCAGATCAGAGGGGTTCAGATCTGAG